GGCAGCTTCACAACCCAGCGCTCAACCGCTGCGCCACCAGAGAGGCCCACCACAGTGATAATTTTGCAATATATACAAATATCAAACAATTTTATTGTACACCTGAAACCAATATAATGTTAAATGTCAATTATACTTGGTTAAAAGTATTAACTTTGATGCTAAAAATTAAAAATAGGTTTTTAAGTCTTGAGGGGATTTAGAGATTTAAAGATGGAACTATAGAGAAGGGAGCAGGTCAGTGGATTAGAGAAAATGTAGCAGAGAGCAAGGAGGAAAGCCAATTATGCAGCAAGTCACTAAGGAGTTAAGGATTGATGGAGGAGGTGGACTTATGAAAGGGAATGAAAGTGAGACTAGGCCAAACAGAAAAGGGGGTTCAAGAGAATGATTATTTTAATGGAGTCAAGCCAAATTACAGTGAATTAAGAGAGTCATAGATGGATGTAGCTAAAACTTTTAATTTAAGATTCCAGATGTGAATTTGTTCTGATTAACAAGAAAATGCAGGGTGTGGCCTTGAAAGTGTGTAGATGAGTTAGAGGGTGAATGAAGTTAGATACATTTCAGAAGCTCAAAGAAACTTCAAGTGAGGCTGTTGGATGGGACAACCACTTGGATTTTCAATCTGTCAACAATGATACTATTAACAATATTTAATATTTATTGTGTACTTAATACATGTCAGGCACTTACCTAAGCATGTTATACATATGCAGATTAATACAACAACACTGGAAGTTGGTACTATTGTTATTTTCACTTTTTTGGTTGAGGGAAGTGAAAGGTAAAGAGCAGTTTACATACCTGATCCACGTACAAGTTAGGATTGCTGCTGCCTCTAATGTGCCTGTGCTTAACTACTTTGCTGTACTTTCTGGTAGGAGTGGATGAAAAGAAATAGTCAGCTGTCAAAGTTCTTAGCGAATGAAAGGCCATGTTCAGTTGCTCGTAGATAATGGAGGTCTGTCTCTTTATTCTATGCAAGGTCTAGAAAGTCAATTTCCTCTTAAAACAAGAATTAATTGGAGTCTACATTAAAATCCTTGCTAAATGAAGGGTTAAAAGAATGTGACAGGGTTATCCTATTTTCTGGCACTTGCAAATGTATGTAGTATGCTCTTTTTTTTTTTTTTTTTGTCTCTTTTAACAAAAGGATCCTCAAAAAAAAACCAAAATAAATTTTCTAGAAAGGTCTTTGTTTTCATTTTGTATGGTTTATTTGCAAAAAGTCTCAGGGAAAGTTATTGAGAAAGCTAGTCTTTTGCACTTAAACTATGAGATCTTCTGAGGGGAGTAAACAATTTATGCCAAGGTGAGTCAATGTCAAATGCATTTTCCAGCTGTATAAACAAATGTGGTGTGGTCAACAAAGAACCCTGAAGAGCAGCAGTCTGAGTAAAAAAATGAGAGAAATCAGAGATTAAGTGAAAATATTAATCTGTAGGAGGGATTGCTAATTCTAATAAAACTGGTTGTACTAGGTACTGAATTACCTGACAAGTGAGTCTATAAGCCACAGCTAAATTCAAACAATCACAAAGACGCTGAAAAAGATGCTAGATAATTCAGGTGGCAGGAGTCACAAAGGCATGGGGTTAAAAAAAAAACAAAAGAAGAAAACAATTGAGAAATGAACCTTAAGTTCATTAAAATATTACTCTCTTACTAGTAAGGAGGGATTGACAGAAAAAGTATACTTCAACATATAGTACTTACAGTGTTATCTGTAAAATATGTAACTCACCTACTTAATAAATACGGTAATCATGTATATTCAGTGAATTGAGTTTTCATTGCTATTTCAGAGTTCTCAGGAATTCTTGCCAATATTATGTATGGCAGAAATGCCTGAATTTAAATAGACTGAGTTTTTAGGACACGGTACCCAGATAGGAAGCCTCTGTCAGAATTGACATTACCTATTATTTTGTCTCTTTTGTCAGGAGACTAAGAAGTTGATCATTATATAGTATATCTCTGGGTAGAAAGGTTTCCTTAAACCAACACTATTTAGAAGAGGAATACTTCTTAGATGTACTTACTTAAAAAACCTGTCTTCATGTCAAACTATTTTCAAAAATAAAATTTAGGCGATTTTTACTTTTTCCTATAGGAATTTTATACATTTTCTACACACAAAGGAATGAAGTAAAGAGGTATACTGGTGGATTAAATCATTATTCCATCTTACCCTTTCTCTAAGATACCAGAATATGCAGGTCAGGATATTGCTTTTTGGACATCTGATTAAGACAATAGACATGAGGGCCTCCCCTGGTGGTGCAGCTGTTGAGTGCTGGGCTGTGGGGCTGCCTGCAGCCTCTGCAGCACCGGCCCGGAGGGTCCCACACAAAAAAAAAAAAAGACAATAGACATGAAAATACAGAATCTCTGTTGTAAAGTAATATGATTTTGAATATCACTGTAATGATTCAAGTGATAGAACATTTTTGCATTAGGTGATAGATAAGTATTATTATTATTTTTTTTTTTTTGTCTACTAGCTACATCTGTTTTGTTGTTGTTGTTGTTGTTTTTCTGGAACTGCCTCTTCCTGACTTGAGGAGTTCTCAGTCAGGACCAGAAGAGGTATCCTTTTCCAAACAGGGTCAATCATAGGTGCCTCCAAGCTTTTCTTTTCTTTTTTTTTTTCTGTTGAAATAAGTGGGTTGTGAGTGGATAAAAGGACTAATAGTTTAGTATTAGGAAAATCTAGGCCTGCAACCAGTAAGCTGATCTTTATACCTGAGGGAGTAGCAGCTGGTGAAGAGTGAAGACAGAGGAGAGGGGAGTTAAGATGTGGCTAGAGATTAAATTTGGATGTAGTCTAGCCTCAGCTTTGCCATATTTAGATTCCCTAGAATTTTAGTTAGATAAGTCAGTAAATTTCCTCTTTTCACTTACGGTGGTGTTGAGTTTTGGTCATTTGCAACCAAAGAATTATAAGCAGTATGCATATAGTTTTTTGGTTTACACTGAATTTCAGAAAATAAAAAAGTTGAAATATTAATCTTAAATAATCAAGTGATGATATTAACTCATCTATAAGTTTATGACAAATATTACGTTTTAGAATACTGTGCTTAATAGATCTTTTGTTATAACCATACCATATAACAGAGCTTACGTGTTAAAAGCATTCTATGATTTCCCAACCAGCAATGGAGTCCTCCTTAGTAAACTATAATCCATATATATTCATAGTAATACCTTCGGTCTGGAAAGGAGTAAAAGGGAAAATTGTATGCTCTGGTCCATTACTGTTACCAGTTCAGTCAATTATAAACCTTCTTATATTGTCTTTCCCCTCCTAAGTTTCTTTATCTGTAAAATTAAGATTGCAAGGGCACCATTCTTATAGATTATTGAGAATTAGTGTAACATTACAGGCATCCCTGCTTTTTAAAAGTTCACCTTATGACATATTGCTCTTATGAAAGACCTTCAATGAGTACCTGATTTTGCCAACCAAAAGAAATCTGAAGAGGATTTTTGCTTTTATGATAAAAAGCAAAAAGAGAAGCATCTGTTTTTCAGCAACTGCTAAAGAGTAGCATGCACTTGAGCAGCGAGAGCAGCATTGCTAACTTCCTTTCCCAGGAACTACTGATAGTTTATATATACTAGGCTATGTATGTATCATATTATATCACTATTGCTTTTACTGTATGCTAGTGTTATTATGGCTGTTTTAAGTTTTTAGGTATAATATGGTAGGTTATTTTGGGGGTTCAGGAATTCTCAAAAATTATCCCACGTAAATTATTTGTATTTCCATGTAAATTTCCATGTAATTGTTTCTTCATCTTATGTCATTTTGGCTGAATAAAGATTTCAGAGGAATTTACTTTTGGAAGGTGGAGGAAATCTGTATGTGTAGTGTGCCTAGCATATGGGAAGGGGTCTATAAATGTTAGCTACTTATTAATGCAATTTTTTGAGGGGTATATACATTAGCTATTCTTATTAATGAAATTACTTTTTGGGTCCATGAACAAAATTTACATCACAGTGAAGGATATTAGTAGTAGCTGTCACTGATGAAAAGAGATAGGTAATTTGTTATAGAGCTAAGTATAGACTGCTATCTGGAAAGTACTCTGTTGAGGTAATATTCTGGATAAAAGCCAACTGATCTGCTTTTCTGGCAAATTAACATGAAGATTAACAGGGCATTTATACACACCTCTGCTCTCAGCTAGGATGATCTGCATGAGTGGAAAAAAAAAGTAAAGTGAAAACAAAATTTTCATATTATTTCTAGTATTGTTGAGAAATTTTAAGAGATTAGAAATACGTAATAACACTATTTGCATAGTACCTTCAATCCTCTATAGTGAAAATTTGCCCATATGGGTCTGAGAATAATTTTGCTATTATGTGTGTACATGTGAGATACATCTTCTGGACTCACTTTCAGACAAAGAGAAACAGGGACATTTCAAACACCATCAGGATCTATTCAATGCATCCCATGGGATTATCATGCTATAGTATGTCTTTCAAGGTGTGTCAGCTGTAAATAGACAAGGGATTAGCATAGGCACAAAGACTAGAAAGAAAACAGGTAGACAGATATTCCTCAGAAATTTTTATAGTCAGTGTAACTAACCTAAAACACATGCTGATCTTGTGGAATCCATGTGGTTCCGCAGGGTATTATTTATATTCGAAAGTGAGTTCATTGCTACCACCTATTCTATTATTTCCAACCAGAAGACCTCCTTAGTAAATGATAATCCATATTTATTCATATTATTACCTTTAATCTGGAAAGGAGTAAAAGGGAAAATTGTATGCCCTTATTCATTTACTGTCACCAAACCCTTATCAAATTCTAATACTTAGATTTATCTTAGTTCTAAACAGTATGCTTAAATTTGCAACATTAAATGTGCATGAAGAGAGATGATATTAAACTAAATGTGATTTTGGAAATATAAACATATTTAACAAGGAAAGAATCTTCAAGCTTTAATCTACAAAAAACTTCTGCTCTAGACACCAGTTTTGGACTCGATCCATTTTTGATAGTATGCCACTCGAGTGTAGACACCAGGCTTGTTTGGAAGAGCACATTCATCTCCCCAGCTTACAATACCAGCAAGGAACCAAATGCCTTTATGATCTGCACTAACCAGAGGTCCACCAGAGTCACCCTAGAGAAAAAAAGAACACATACAATTAATATAATTTAAAGGTGAATACTGCTTATTTTTCTCTTGTGTAGTAAATACAAGGAGACACAAAGAAAAGGGCAAAGGTATTTCAACATTAAAGTGATTCTAGCCTTGAATATTTTTGTGTTCTATAATCATTTATTTAAATAAAAGAATATCAGTATATGCTTTGGGTATAACAATGCAATAATAGAAAACGTGTATGAAAAATTTCAATTATTAACCAAATGAGATGCTGAAGGAACAGTTATTCATGTGATGATAAGTATGTTGAGGAATTTTTGAGAATCTCCCACAAACCCCCTATATTCAGGATGATCCTGGAAAAAAGGGATGATTTATATTTACCCACTACCATCACTACATGCTATCTTTCCATTCCTGTGTCAACATCCCTTTAATTTTCAGAATTGTATAAGTTGGCTAAACTATCCCATACACTCTTTATGGTGTCATCTACTGATGTTTAAGCCATTTTTACAGAATGATGGAACACTTTGGCATCTGAATTTTCCTTTGGTTTAATCCTTCCCATGATCCTGTTTAACTTCAAGATTTACTGGGTGATATATTTAATATCTCAGTCCACAGTCTGTAGGTTTCCTTGATTCTGATATCTACGTATTTTTTAACATTTTCATGCCACTTCTTGTCATCACTTGCAATTTCTCCACCTCTGAAACACCATTATTCAGCATTATGACTGCATGTATCTATCCCTTTATTTTCCTCATTCCATGACCTTTTGCTCTCCATCTGCTCTTCAACTTCATTAAGAATGTAATTCTTGGCTTCTTCCTTTTCTCTTAGTGTATTAGGTTATTTCCTGCCACCCATCTTTCTCTATGTAACTATATTTCATTATTTATCCATACCACTACTCTTGCAACGAAATTCTCAGTTCCTTGTTTCCTCCCTACCATAATCTGGGTCAACTCATACATAGTGAAAGATGACTCCATTCCAATTTTATATTCTCAAACCAATGCCTCTCTGTAATAGTTATATATCCCTAGCCATCCTTCTCATTTTTAAGAACAGCCAATCCAATCTTATCTGATTTTGCAATTAAGAAATATTATTTATTTATTTTTTAATTTTATAAAATATACATCACATAAAATTAATCATTTTTACTTCTAAGGTGAAGACAAGTACAAATACAAATATATCAGGTAGGAAAAAATTGAAAGCCATTCTTTTATAGTAACTTTCATTTTTTCCTACTTAGCAGGAGGAAATGTCATGTGCCTATGGCTGTGCTCAGGAGTTAGCATATAAAGGAAAATAAAGTAGACAGAGTGTTCTGTGGTTGGAGGGTGGGGAGGTACAAGTGGTGATATCATTGAAGGTGCTGTCAGTAGAGTGGCTAAAATAATAAAACATGGATTCTAGGATGCATGAGATTAGAAGAGAGTTATGGTGCTGGAGTTATGGGGCTGAGAGAAAACAGACAAACGGATTTAAGTTTGTCAAGACATTGAAGAAAAAGTTTATGGGAAAAATTATTAATGGGAATCATTACTTAGAGATAATAATTATGCATTACAATAGTTATTTGCATGTCTCCTAGAATATAGGAATAATGTTCTATTCACTTTTAACTTCCCTGACCTAGCACAGGGTCTGATACAGTTAGTAGTTAATAAATAATCACTACATAAGACAATGAATGAATAAAATTAGAGTCCTGCTGGATTTATCACTGATTCTGCCTTATAGGTAAAGACAATAGTACTTTTGCTAGCTTTGGGACATTTGTTTATAAACAGTATAGGAGGTATCTGAAGCATACTGAGCATAAAGAAAGGCATCTTAGTATAGAATTCAGAGAATGGGTGCTGGGGCCCAATTTCTTGGGTTTAAACTTCAGTTCCGCCATTAAACACCTGTGTGAGTTTAGACAAACTGCTTGATCTTTTTGTCTCAGTCTTTTCATGTGAGAAATAAGGTTTAGAATAGCACAAACATATATCTTAAGATTGTCATAACTTTAAGAAATTAATATTTGCAAAGATTTTCAAACAGTTAATGACATATGGAGATGCCATAAAAGTATTGTTAAATAAATAAAATATTTAAGGTGTTGGAGTTAAATTAAGAAAGTTTATGATCATTAAATTTGGTTTGGGACCCAACTGAATGTTTCTCAGTGAAAGGGTCAACCTAACTAAAGTTGGCAATAGTCCATTTCATGTCTGTATTGCTTATTCCAAATTGAATCTCTTCTACATTCCCATTCACAGTGGTTTAGCACTTTAGTTCTTTAATGAGAACTATCAGTTATTAACACAATTTACTTACTTTGGCTATAAAATATACTTCAGTCTTTAAAAATTCTCTATATTTTGATAATTTAACTGGTTAATTGGAAATTAAAAACTACAAGAAAGAATATCTTGAAAAGAGAATAAGCAGATTTACCTGGCAGGCATCCACCCCTCCTTTCAAGAACCCAGCACACAACATTCCAGGTGTGATCACACCACCATATGCCTGCTCACCATTGCAGATCTTATTATCTATAATCTTCACTAGTCCTTTTTGAAGTATATTAGGACTTTTTCCTAAAGGAAGAAAATGATATAATTTTTGCTAAAGTCAGTATTAATTTCTATGGCTAGGCTATTAGTCTCTAAACCTATGTATAATTTCCAAATCAAAGTAACTTATGTTTGAATTAAATTTCCTTTTGTTTCCTTTAGTAACTTCTTTCCTTTGTTACTTTCAAGTCACAAAGAAGTAATTTATGAACGAACTCATTGCTAAAAATGACTACATCTAGAAATAATCAGTATGCACATCCATTTGTGATTTTTTTACTTTGCATTATTATGGAGTATTCTATTTATTACATATATACCCTAGAAAGCAAAATAAAAATTCATATCCTATAAGTATACATTTTATGATCATTTCTGGATTTTCTAATGATTGTTACTGTAATTCTGAATCTTAGGGTTACTTTCAAGATTTTTTTTGTTTTCAAATGCATTTATGAACACAAATATCCACCAAATTTTTACATTATTAGGGTCATGTAGATGCACATGTTTTAATAGTTCTTGTATACGTACTGCCTTATTACAGGGACTATTCATTTTACCCTCACAAAAATGCTCAATCCTTTGTAATTTCTATGGTACTTACTTGCATAAAACTTGTTGTGTAATCAATTTATTTATTATTTTTCATGATTATTATCTGTTTTTATTTGCTAAGAATGTAAGATTCATTAGGGCAGGAATATCTACTATTTCATTCATAAACCAAACCACCAACAACAGGTGGTGGTCAAAATAATTGTCAATTAAATGAATGAAATGGAGGAAATTAAATTTCTTATTCAAATAATACATTTCTGTAGAAGTTGACATTGTTAATGGAAATTATGGCATACATCTTTATGAAACTGCTTGCATAAAAGTTGTAGTAGATAATTTTCAATCCATTGTATGTGGATTGTGCAAGGATCCTCTAAAAAAGATCCATAGAAAATATTTCTCAGGTTTCACTATTGCTCTGTTTATTCATGCTTAACTTCTGATACTCAAACCATTAAATGGAAAATTAGAAACTCACCATCATTTTTTAATGTTCCCCATCCAGTGACCACTGCATCTGAATTGGGTGGGAATTTATGAGAGTCCCCAGGAAGACACACTCTTCGGATTTTGCTTGAATATAATACCGGTGAAGACAGACGCACAACAGCAATGTCATTATCATGTGCGGGGTAGCGGTAGTCTTCATGAACTATAATATCCTTGATACCTCTCTGTACTTGTGGGTCACTTAAAAGAAGAGCGAAACTAGCTTTCCATTCCTTAGTGTTATTGGCGCTAAAGAAAAGAAATTTATTAAAAGTTCTATATACGAGAGTTGTAGAAACCAATCTCATTCTTTTAAAAACAATTGGATATGTTTTGAATTCCCATAATCCTTATAATCATACAAAAATAAGGCTACATGTGAAAGAAAACAGTAATGATAAAATAACATAAATAGACTTTGTAACTCAATATACTATGTTTTAAAAGATAACTCATAGAAACTATATTTTATTCTTTATTTTGGCTAGAAAAAACCCAAGGGGACTTATACACATAATTATGACAATATAGTTTAAAAAAAAAAGTGGCAAGGATATGGGACAGAACTTGTGGAAATTGGGAACAAACTAAATCTTCCTTAAAACCTTTAGAGACTGTAAATAGGAAGATATGTGTGACTTTTACTATTATCTGTTAATCAATTACATGTACACCAAGCACTGAAAAAATAATGCTGCTAGAACACATTCAAACCCTCAAGTTTGATCAGGCTTTGTGGTTATAGGTAAAATCTATATAGTATCACTAGAAAAATGATAAGGAGTTAAAAAAACTGGTTAAAAAAGCAAACTTTTGGTGTGACGATAAATGATTTAAAGAAATAATTATTACCAATCGGACTATACTATGTATGAAAGGACGCAGGATGAATTAAAATTCTCATTACTGAATAACTAAAACCAAATGGAATAATGATGAGGAAGAAATAGATGACCCAAGTTCAGTTTGGGATTTATAATTTCTTTATAAATTTGAAGTAAATGACCCTAGTTTAGTGATTCTCAACTGAGGGCTATTTTGCTGTCCTAGAGACATTTTTGGTTGTTAAGCTGGGGTGATGCTACTCAGCATTTGATAGGTAGAGGTCAAGAATGCCATTAAATATCTTATAATTCACAGGCTAATTCCCACAGCAAAGAATTATTTGGCTCAAAATATCAATAGTGCTAATGTTGACAAACCCTGCTCTAATCTGAATATATTTGCTATTTCGCAACTCATTGACAATTTGGAGGCTACACCTTCACAATATCGAGTGGTTGGATGCATAGTTGTGTGGTCAAATTCTTGAAAGATATGTGTATATACTTTTTAGGTACTTGAATGGCTGTGAGGTTTTTGAGCCAGAGCTTACTTTACGAAGCAATGAGCAGCAGTGACAAGCCAGCTATTACTAATCAGAGTGGCTCCACATCGGTGGACATTGTTCTGTTGAAGGCTGACTTGCCAGGGCCATTCCCCTTCCTCAGCATTCACGCCGCCTGCTATTTTGTTTCCAGAAGGAGTTATTTCTCTTTGTCCACAACCTGCTCAAAATAGAGTTCATTAGCATATAATGATATTGCTGTTGTTTAAACATGTATTGCTATGGTAAATATATAATACACGTCACTATTAATTACTGATAAGGGAAGTCTTAGAGAAATTAGGATTGACTTGGTTGTGACAGATTTTTTGAGAATTCATTCAAAATTTATGTCCTTCTCTCTTATTCTCATCACTCATATGATGAGTGTAGAATTAAATTTTTGAATTTGGAAGTTACTTATTTTATAACAAGTTACTTAGTTGCATAGAGAAATGTATGCTTTTTAACTTTTATTAGTAGTTGTTTCAAGCAATGATTATAATGAAATATTCATAGAACATGTGAATGAATGTGAGTGAGATCTCAATGAGTGGACAAAAATGTGTTCTTACTCAAGTCACAATATACAATACTTGAATTGAAGAAATAACATATAAAGATAGTAAATAATAAACAGTTCTCTGAATATTTATTCTCTCAATAAGACATAGTGTTTTCTTTTGTCTACTTAGATCCACAATTGTCCTTGTAGCAAATGTGCAGTAATAATATACCTTCGCTAGTATTCTTTCTGTCTGAGTCACTCTCTGATACCTCTGACTAGCAATTCTTACTCCAACTAAAGTATTTAATTAGTCCCTAACAATTTATGGTATCTGTCACTATAGATGGCCTCTCATTGATAAATATCTTTAGATGCATATCCTTTGTTTAATGTCTCTCTAGAACCTACCACAAAGATCCTGTCATAGGGAAGAAGCTCAAGGAATGTTTGCAGAAATTTGTTAAGGCTTTTCACTTTGTAAAATTCACTTCACTGAAGCAGACCCTTTGTCTTTGTTATTTTTGAATGAGTAAACACTCACATTGACTCACTGGTTACTCCCTTTCCTTTTCCTCTTTCTTCCCACACCTTTATCATGGATGCTACAAAGGATAAAATAAATAACCCAGAAACCAAAGGTATAATAATGGTTCCTCCCTATACTTCCTTCTGTTTGGACAACTCCTAAATGAAGTTGGCTTTTATTCAACTTCCTTCAGAGGAATATAAAAACAAAGAAATTCCCCAGGTGACAATACTTCCCTGTTTCTGCTCTTACTCAGAATTTTAAAATATTTTATATTCATGCATAACATATTCTGAGTTCTCATTTACTCGTAATTTGTTGAGGTGTCAATTGCCATCTCTGCAGTATTATTTTGTTATTATTTTTGCTGTAATATACCTGGTACCTTGTAGCTTTTATATCAAAATAGGTGATAGGTAAATTTCAAGGATTTAAGGAATGTAATGAAGGCTTGCTGAATGATACTTTCAGAAACATCAAAGAATCTACCATGGACTTACTGTCTCCTTAACTCTCTAATTTCTATTCCACCACCTATTCATGTACTTTAACACATCTTATATCACATACCAAAACTCTATTTTCTTCAGCTCTCTTTGGGTTTTTCTTATCTACCTCTCCCTTCTTCTCTTTTATTTAAAGTACAATCAAAATCTCAGAATGGCCAAATCAAACTCAGAGTACTGATTTGGATAGTTGTTCCATCTGGGAGATAGCCAAATTGTTCGATCTCTGTCTTACCCCTGCTTTTAATCTTGCCTTTGCTACATGTCTTCTATCAACCCAATCAATTCCTTATTGTGGATTTTGGTCGTGTCAGTACTAACCTTTTCATTGGAATACTTGACTTTAAGAGGTTCTATTAAGTTGCTTGAGGATTGCATGATTGAAATATAATATATAGAAAAAAATTACTACAGCTTTGTGTTTAAGTTTTGCCTAGGTTGCTCAGAAATAAGTAAATATGTTGTGACTGTAGGACAATAATAATAGTCAGGGTCAGTGCCAGTGCCAGTGTCACCTGGCTCTGGAAGGTGATTCTGTCTCAGTTCCAGATATGAGTTATGGTTATCCTGATAGCCTGTTGCAGCCATGGGATCATATTTCTCAGGGGGCTAGTGGAAGCAGGGGAGGATGGAAGCAGAATGCCTTGGCCAATAAGGCAGGCTACATGCAAAAAGACAGAGTCAGTATAAGAATCTTTGCTTGTAGAAACATATTTTCACAGTGAGTTCCAAGCCTGCACTTTTCATAGGCAGAATAGAAAATGCAAAAAGCTAATATCATTGAGTGCTTTATACGAGCCATATTCTCTAGAAAGTACTTTACTGCTGTGACCTTCTTTTATCTTCACGGCTACCTAGAACTGAAAATTTGAAAAGTTAAATAGCCTATGTAAATTTACCCATTTTGTAAGCGGCACATCTGGGGCTCAAAACCAATGTGCAGTTGTTTTAGAGTCTAAGTTCTCAATTACCACTGCTTTTCCATAGATCCAATCCTCCATTATGGCATGTGATAATGTGTTCTTCATATAAAGTCTATATCAGTCAATTTAAGACCAACTACCGTCATCTTCACATCAGATTCTAAAAGCAGACATCTCATAACACCTTTATGGACTATGCTTTGAATCTCAAGGGGAGTTCTTTTTTGTCATCCTAGGAATTAAGTTCCACTAGAAAATAAATCTTTATTGATGAACTTACAAATATGGAGAAGATTTTCTGCTGTTGGCATTGCAATATCTAAAAGTCAAAGAAAAAAGAAAATGAAAATATATACACTTATAACATATTTTAATCTTAATTTAATTATTTTGGGGTTCACTTTCTATGGGCATAATCATCTTATTCAATCTTGACTATAATATCTATGTCTATAGATGATTGTAGAGTAATAAAATCCTAGTATTTCTTTTTTTGTTTCTAAAAAGACTCAAGTTTTCATTTAAGTTATTTAAAAATGAGGTTTGGGTCTTGGAATGTACTGAACTGTATGGAAGATAGTGATCTTCTACCATATCTTGAATCCAAATGACCAGATAACTGAATGTATTTGGCACCTTTTGGGTCCCACTTTAAATACTCTTGACCTATCTCTTATTCCAGCCTAGTATGGTGACCAATATCATGCAGATTTGGATCTACTTGGCTGAGGAGTAACTTGACAGATGCTTTTCTCAATTTAGCACCTTAGATGTCTCACATTCTGCTGGAAGGCACACAATGGACATTCCCAGATGGACAAGACAAAATGTGAGAGTTAATGTTGTTGGAGCCAATGTAAAGGGGAAGATGATAAGTAAAGCTTCCCTCTTTAGTCATGAACAGTTTTGAAATATAATTCATAAAGCTCAAGGGGTTGGAACTAGTTTTGCCCATAATGATGGTCAATTCCCCTCCATTTTTCTCTTTCAACCCTTCACTCTTTCTCATATCAGTTACAATGACATTCAATGCCCTGTCTGATGCATTGTTTTTTGGGGGAAGGAGGCCAAGACACTCAAATACATATACCATATAAATCATAACAAATAATGTTAATAACTATGAGATACAGTACACACAATGTTATATTTATGCACTTTTTGGTATTGAGTACTTTTTGCTATATCTTAATCCTCTGAAAATGAATACTATTTGCATCACTAAGTTTCAGTTATTTAAAACATTCAACTAGCATGCCATCCTATTTCCCATTCATTTGGATTAAAACAATTTACTTTAGTAATAAGGCAGATTTCAAAATTGTCTACTCAGTCATGGACATCTGGGAAATATTACGGGAAGTGATTTACTCCAGACAATTTTGCTATGGGCCTCACATCCCTATAGGATTACCAAGTACACTTAAGAGGAGCTTCTCTTAATATTACTCAGCATTCAAAAAAGATAAACACATGCAATTTGCAGCAACATGGATGGCACTGGAAGGGATCATGCTCAGCGAAATAAGCCAAAAAGAAAAAGAAAAATACCGGATGGTCTCACTCATAGCAGGAATCTAGAAAACTTAAATAAGGGACCAGGAAAATGAATATAAGAAAGTGAAAATCAAAATCAACAAAAAACTATGAACCAGAGACACTTTTTGGGGGGTGGGGGGCGGAAGGGGAAGGATTGGGGTCAGAATGGGGCGTTTGCAATTGTATGGGGGAATATAAAAATAAAATTTAATATTTAAAAAAAAAAAAAAAAAGAGGAGCTTCTCTTCAAAAAGGAACCACCATTTGCTCTATAAATTAAATGCTATAAATGCCAATGTAGGCTCATTTTTATTATGCTCCTGGATTTCTATAAATCCAGGAGGGAGTATCCAGTTCTATACGTCAATTATAGTCATACACACTTACATTAATTAGGTTGCACAACAAATCAGAGACAAAAGACTCTTTTACCAGAAAGTCAACTTGTCTGAACAAAAAGCAGGAGACACTCAACAGTCAGATGGACTATGAGTGGATAAGAGCCACACCTACTTAAACAGAAAGGTGGCACTTTTCCATCCTTTCATAGCTGCCTTCTGAGGCTAATTCTTGATTGCCGTAATACTCTTTTGTTTGATTTTGATCACCATGTGGTAGGTAAAATATCTCAGACCATATTAAGATTTGGGGAAATAAACTTTTAATTTGACAGGAAGCTGTTAATTCTTACAACATAAACACAAATTACTTAGAAACCCCATTGTGTTCACAAAACTTCTTTGTTTGAGGTTTTCTTTATTGATGCGTGACTTGCTAAAGGGAAGAAATGTTTTGACCTATAATTTACTTTTAATAGTTGCATTATCCCAGAGCTTAAAAAAAATAACTATCACTTGGGTAGGTGGAAGACAGATGGGTACAATGAATGGGGAAGTGATTTAAGCTGTCACTCCTTTGGACTGAGTCATTGCTATGGCTGTTTGTGTTCCTTTCTTTTAAGTCCTTTGACTCACACACAAATGCTGCAACTCTTGACAATTTGTTTCTGAATCAAGAGTCAATAATGTAACCCAAGATATTCTATTTACTGTATATGTAAGCATACCAAATATACCATATAAAGGAAGTGACAAAAGACAATGGCATTGCCCCTGCTAAGAAACAGATTCTATCAAAGTATAATTTGATAAAGCAGTTTTTAAAAACAGATTAGTAAATCTGAATGGGTCTTTTTTTGGAACCGGTAATAAATAAGAATAAATATGGACCTTGCCCTCAATGAACTTGGAGTTAGTGGAGGAGATCAAAGACCAAGTAAATAATTCAATATAATGTAATGAGTGCTATGGCACATCTATGCACAGGCAATTGGATGCACCAAAAAAGATCGCTTAGCATAGATGGGTGATAAGGAATAAGAATAGCTGATGACAAACATTCTTTTGGGAAGGAGGGAACAAATTAATTTTACTGGGGACAAAATAGACATATTTCACTCACGGTTGAAGATTAGATTAGTTAGGATGTTAGATGCTCTATTTGTGGGCTTTAGAGCTATAGTGTTGCAGATCCATGACCACTGTTTCATATTTGGTGTTTTTCTGGGGTTAGGAAGTAAATATAAGTAGAGACCCAGGTAATAAAAGGACTCCCTAAAAGCATATTAGACAGTGAATATTGTATTCCTTGAAGAAAGTCTGTAACATAATAATACTAATGAAAAAATAAGCTGCATGATTCTAAAATATAAGAAATAATATTACAAAAAAATGTATAAAATTCACAAGGACCACATATTTTAATTCTATTCAGGTGAATGTATTACTTTTCCTGAGTTCAAATGTTAAATTAGTTGATTAATGCTACTACAGAAATTTTTTTCTACGGTTCTAGCATTAAAAATATAGAGGAGTTCAACTGAATTCTCTTATGGAACGTATTTAATTAAATATTTTAAAAAGTTCATGTGGTAGATTTCTGAAAACCTTAAAACTATAAGTGACATGGTAACTACTATAAAATTGTCATGACACACAAATGATCATATTCTACCATGTAAATTCATTCACTCTGGATTGCACTCTGGAACATTAATATGGTTGCTCTGCATTAAAAGACAAAGAAACAACATGCACCTGGATTGTGGTTGAACAAAATCTGGATCCTTCTCTTACTGCAGATTTTGATTAGTCACCTGACTGCATATTTAACTTCAATAAATGCTTTTCTTTGTTTTTAATTATACTGAAAATTACATCTGTGGTTAGACATTACATATCATTTATTATTCGTTAGTGACATACATAAGTTTTATACATAATATATCTTTACTATGTTTGCCAATTTGACTCTACAGGTAAAATTTAAAAAGGAATTTTATTATGATTTAATAACTTAAATCTTTATGATTTAATTAATAGCCGGTTGAATCTGTAGGTGGTAGCTTTTAAGGTAGAACTATGTTTCATTTTTTTTTTGCCTCTATGCAGATTTTAAGAATTATAAAAAAAATAAGTATCTATTTTTATTTGGATATTGCATATGCTTCTTCTGTGTCTTAGTCCTTGTTGATTTTAGAAAAATCTCTTTTACTGATGTAACATTAGGTTACATCATTGTATATAGTTTAGAGATATAGGTTCTACCCTTTCGGGAGAATTACACCCATCACAAAGACACCTATAGACCTTCATCATAGTCCATTGTGGATTTTAAGCTTTGGAAGTAGTACAAAAGTTCACTGTTATGATGAGAAGACAGGCATTCCACAAGGAATATATTTAGGCTGTTAAGCTGATACAGTAAGCAGTGGACAATGTAAGCAATAATATCTGTCTTGTGCATTTGAAATATCATCCATGTATTTCTAAGAGGTTCTTTTGAGGACACATATTGGATAGGTAATTAATATTTAGGATTAGTACTTCCAGTTAGGAAAGTTTCTAGTTGGGTCTCCCAGGTATCTGTACACATTGTTAGGGTCTGTATTTTGATGTCCCAGCAATGATGTTTCTCCCACGGGCCAGGAATCAAATAACAAACACGGACTCTGTCCTTAATAAATTTGGAGTGCAGTGGTGGAGAAGTAGAATCCTTTCAATTTATGCCTATTGCTTTCTTTAAGACCCATCTTATGAGGTAGTATCTCTAAGTATCCTTTCTCTTTTTTTCCTTTTTATTTTTATTTAAATTTTTTTAAAAATAAATTTTATTTTTATATTCCCCATACAATTGCAACCCCCCCCATTCTGACCCCAATCCCTCCTCTCCCCGCCCCCACCCCCCATAAAATGTCTCTGTTTCATAGTTGTTTGTTGATTTTGATTTTCACTTTCTTATACTTATTCTTTTTCCTGGTCCCTTATTTAAATTTTCTAGATTCCTGCTATGAGTGAGACCATCTGGTATTTTTCTTTTTCTTTCTGGCTTATTTTGCAGAGCATGATCCCTTCCAGCGCCATCCATGTTGCTGCAAATTGCATGTGTTTATCTTTTTTGATTGCTGAGTAATATTCCATAGTGTATATGTACCACATCTTCTTGATCCAGTCATCTATTTTTGGGCATTTGGGTTGTTTCCAAAGCTTAGCTATTGTAAACAGTGCTGCTATAAACATAGGGGTGCAGGTGCTCTTTGGAATTGATGTTTCTGTGTTCTTTTTTTCCTTTTTAAAGATTTATTTATTTATACAAGCACTGGGTACAGTCAGAAGCGCGGGAGGGTAAGAGAATTCACCGGAACCAGAGCGGGGAGCAGGACCGAAATACACTGCTGAGGGCCTCCCTGGTGGCGCAGCGGTTGAGCGCTGGGTTGCGAAG